GGGGAGGGGAGACGTACTCAGTAGCCTTCGCAGGTCTATTGTATTCAGCAAACATGTTGGATAATGCATACAATCGGGGAAGTTGTGTCAGGGATAGGGTTAGGAAATAGGATTTGCGTACCCCCTCCCTGTTCTATTTCATCGCAAACATTATTTCTAGCGAAGGCGGTGCGGTGGAAGAAATGTACTACCGCTGCTGGTACAAGTGCTGCTGCTGCTGTTCTACACGAAAGGTTGGTGTGCCATGAACGCTTGTGGGAGGGAGACCGGGAGATCATGATACTGCTGCTGGTACAACTGCTGCTGGTACAACTGCTGCTGCTGCTGCTGCTGCTGTTCTATACGAAAGGCTTGTGTACCGTGAACGCCTGTGGGAGGGAGACCAGGAGGTAATGATAAGAATAAATGGGATTCATGCGTTCGTGTACATGTACGCACCATCCTTAGAGAAGCTGCAACCCGCCATCGGGGGAAGATAGGTCTTCCGTTGTTCTTATGTTCTTGTTCGTACCACGTAGTCTGGTCGTCGCTTTCGATTTGGGTTGAGCGCTCTTGTAGTGCTGGGGGGAGCGACGGAGAGAAAAGAGAGGGAGAGAGGGAGAGAGAGGGAGAAAGAGAGAGAGAGAGAGAGAGAGAGAGAGAGAGAGAGAGAGAGAGAGAGAGAGAAAGAGAGAGAGAGAGAAATGTTCACGATCAAGTTTTTTGTTTATGCGTTGTTTTTTTTCTGTTTTTTTCGTGTTTGCGTGTTTTTTTTCGTTCGATGCCCCGTTTCGATTCATGTTGAGAGCTTCGGATGACTACCTTCCGTGTCCCGCTGCTATTCGCCAGTCGTGATGCACTTTTTTTTTGGTTATTTTTCACTTGTTTGTTCTGTTTTTGTAGCTGTTGTTGTCTTGCTTGTCCTTGTTGTCCGAGCGCGCCGAGCGCCGTACAATCAATGCGGAGGGAGAAGCAAGAGTAGCAGCGACGACGGTTATTCAAGAGTTCCCCCCTCTTGTTACCTGCCGCGCCCCTGTTGCCCGGCCGTTGGAGTTGTACAGGTGCTGTTGATGGCCAACTAATAACTGGCTTTCCGCGTGTCTGGAATGTGTGCGCGAGGTCCATGGCGATGGTTAGCGCCGCTGAATTGTGCTGCTTGTTGTTTATTCATATACCAATAGCTGCTCTGTCTCCTGGAGGAACCTTTCGGTTCTTGTCTTTGTGTTGCAGGCATGAGCCGCTTGTCGACTCGCCTGTATGTGTTTTTTTATCGTGTTTGAGGGAACTACAACTTGTAATATAGTTTCGTTTTCCCAAGTGTAGGTACAGCAGTATGAGTGCAGTAGATACACGGTGCTCGTGTTCCCGGCTGACCTATAGTGCAGGGCACAACAGCCTCTCTCTTCGTTGTACGAAGAAAGTTGAAAAGTACGCTCGTCGTGATGGTGTCGTAATTTATTGGGAAATTTTTTCAATTGTGTTGGTAAACACAATGCACCAAGATTCGGATATGGAACAACCACCAACATCCCTTTTGGCTTGCACCCGGTTTCTTGTTTTTGATCAAACGGATGGCAGCGTGATCATCCGCGTGTTCAACCCGGATGTGTGTAGGAATGAATGTCTTCCGATCACTGCTGTTTCCACTATTTTTCTTTTCTTCTGGGTGACGACGTTCGTTCGTTCACTGCGCTTTCCTCCCGCTTTTTGCACAAGTGGCATTACGACGGATGCCCGGGTGGGAATCAAAGAGAGATAAATAGGCATAGTACCTGGCAGTGACTGGTGATCATCGTGTCTGAGAATGAGAACAGAACAAATGTATAACGTCAATCGACGGTTCTCACGGCGTTCACAGCGGCGATATCGTTGGAGGTAAAACGTTCATGACCTGCAACCATCCGTCGGATGATGATCATCAGGCTTTTCTGGCTGGCCTGACAGTGTGGCCGGCGAACGGAATTTGACATGCCGGAGGTATCTCACGAAACATGTTGGAGTGGCGGGGTCTGTGTCGCGGGACTACTATCCTTGAGGTTGGTTTGTTGATTGCGGGGGCGCGTTTCCGATCGATCCGCCGTCACGGTCTGTTGGCTGTCTGTGTGGCTGCGTGGCACTTCGTCACGGCTTCTTTTTTTTTTTCGGTTGGTTGTGAATCAGGCACACCACCACCGTGTGCATCTTTTCCCATGAAACGAAAAGGGGGAGGGATCATCGACCACCAACATGTGTACACCGTAAGGGCATGCATGCGTTTTGCATCGACGGACCCACTGAAAAAAAAAAAAAAAAGAGCATGTCTCAAGGACCATCCTGTCGGTTGTCTTATGTACACCCCTCTCAATCCCACGACGTCTTGGATTTTGCATTTGGCGCTCTTCTTCCATGTTGTGTGGGCAAAACAAGATCAGTACAAAAAAGCTGCCTTGCCCCGGCGTTGCATCAAATACAGAAAATATTCCTCCTTCTACAACTTGTCGAAAACAAAGCTTCAGACCACCACCCTCTCCTCCGGACACCCATAACAAAAACCAAGCCCATTCTCTACACCTTGCCGTCAGGACAATACCTCGTACAATTTTGACCCCCCCCCTACTCTACCCCTCCCCCCCGCGCCCCTTTCTCAAACCAATCCGGTTTCGTTCTACGTCGGCAGGTGTCCACCTCAAGCGTACGACACCAACCCCACCGTTCTCATGACAGCGGCGACACATCGCTTCCAAGCCTTCCCCGAAAACTGCCGCACGTACCTACCTACCTACACCGATTGGGAGTGTGCTCGCCCAAAAAACAAATCCCTGCTCGAAACCGTCTACCGTTCCGCATTGCTACCCGTTTCGAACACGAACCGTAACCGGCACAGTGCGGAACCGCAACGGTTGCAAGCTGAAAGCTGCAGCGGGTCTCGCACACGTACAACCGGGCGGGGGGGGGGGGGAGTGGTGGTACCAGTAGCAGCGGGTAGATGCAACAAGATGCGGGACATTCCGTCCCTCGCCGAACCGTCACAAGAACCCTTTTTCCAAACCTTCCGCGACCCACCTAGAACACCTGGGTAAAGCGTCTATACAGCAACCAACTGTTCCACACATCCCGTAAACCGCGCGTATGCAACCCATTTTACCGCCAGTCCACAGAGGACGAAAACCAGCCAACCCCATTCTAGATTTTGATGTGTTGTGCCCCCTACCTATAAATTCGCCACCATCGTGTCGTGCCTCGCCTACAACATGCGGAATCGCCGCAAACCACCAGAGCAGCGAGCGATGCTCAGAACGTCTTTGTGGGCCCACACGTGCAACAATCCTTGCCACGTGCTGCTGCTGAAGCTGCCGACAAAAATGTCTAAGCGAGTCAACGAGGCACGATAGTGCGTCAAGCAACACGTGGCAAGGCTAACGAGCCCTTTTTATGCCACAGACCTGGCGACGCTCTCGTATCCAATCGACCATTCGTCGAAACCTTACACCGCTCCCCCCCCCAATAACCTAGACACGCTTGAATGCCCCATGCCCCCCCCCCCTACGGTGAGAGAGAGAGAGACATGCAACGAAAATGAAACCCAAGAGCTGATTCCCCGTCTTTCTCTCTCCCACCCAGCAACACAGCACACGACAAAGACACCCAAAGAACAAAAAAAAAAGAAAGAAAAATGTTGTGGTAGCGACAGGTCCTCACCGCTGCGTACGTCAAGTCAAACCCAGCACGCCAAAATCACCAGAAGCCTCGCAGACACCACGATTCGGAAACACACACACACACAAACATGCATGGGAAGAATTTTCACGCTAGCCCGACAACAAATGAAAATCAAACGCCAGTCTTTACCCTCCCCCCCGAAGCCTACCAAAAACCCGCGTGTACCAAACGCCGCCTCAAGTAGTAGTGCGGCAATGCATGCACCTAAACCAATCGTAACCAACACAGGGGCTTGCGACAGGCGGCGTGAGTAGGTAGTGCCAACCGCGCGCGTGGCAGTTGACCCCTTTTCGCGCAAGAGGCAGCGTCAGCCAGATCGGTGTACATCACCCACATCTCGTCTCCGCCCCCCCCCCACTACACACCCACATGCCTCCCGTCATCCAATCTACAGCGCCCCGAACACTCCACAGCAGCAGCAGTACCAGGGGCACGATTGCGAGAATCAACTGCGCCGCCGCTGTTGGAGTCCGACTCGCAACAGTCACTGCATACCAAACAGCGTGCACAGCACCATACCCGAATATAACACTCGAAACACGCAGGACGCCGCCTGTATTCCCTTATACCGCACCCACGGCAAAGAACGCAAAAAGCAGAAAACGGAACCATGACTGCCACGCCCTTTGGGGGGTACGTGCGTAATGCGACAATTGTCGTTCGCCGGAATGTCTCCGACACGAACACACACCAGGAACCCAAAACCAACACGAAGGGGACGAGTGACGAGGAGAGGAAAAAAACACAGCACGGTTCGCCTCCCGTCGATGACCCCGTGGGTTGTCAGCCAGACGACCGTCGGTGCACACATCGCTACACAATAACCAAACACTAGGTATAGCAGGATTCGCCTCACAACGGCCGTCGGGCATAAGGAACGGGGGCGCCGTCATTTGCACACATGATGCATAGACCCCCCCATCCACCGATGGCCTTCCTATCTCCAATCACGGCCCTCCTCAAAATGCCTCCACAAGTCGTGAAAACACTGCTGCAACTCCACGTACCGAGCGGGAGGCGATGCCCCCTTGCCGAGGGCAAGCACTGCGCCCCCCCCCCCCCCCCCCCCCCCCAAATTTTAACTAGGAAACTTTTTTCTTGGGGCCCCCCAAAAACTTTCCCCGGGAAAAAGGTAACAACACCAAAAGGGCCCCAAAACTAAAACCTAAGTCTTAACCCCAGAACCCGGGAAAAAAACCCGGGGAAGGTTAAAACTTCCCCAAAATTTACCCCGCCACCCTCCGCCCAAAAACTTAAAAATCCCAAAAAAAAAAAAAAAAAACAACAACCGGGTAAAAGAAATAACCCAAGGGGCAAAACCCTCCCCCGGAAAGGGATGACGGGCAACCCCACAATTTCTTTCCCCCTATGGGAAACCCCCCAAAAACCAAAAAAAAGGGGCGAAAGGGGTTCAAAAAGGGCGCGAATCCCTCCCCGCCACGGCCTCCAAAAAAAAACCCAAAGCCCAAAATGGCCAAAAAA